TCGTTCGTACTTTCTCATGGAATCAGAGCAGGTCCCTTCCTAGGGCCTGTTTCCTAGGGCCCACCGAAGCGCCCCCGAGGCGCGCATTTTTTTTTTAAGCGACCCTCCGAGTCGCCCCTCCCGTCGTGCTCCTGCTTAGGCCCCTCGTCGGCCCCCGCTTAGGCCCCTCGTCGGCACCCGCTTAGGCCCCTCGTCGGCCCCCGCTTAGGCCCCTCGTCGGCCCCGCTTAGGCCCCCTCGTCGGCCCCTGCTTAGGCCCCTCGTCCGGCCCCCGCGTACCCCTCGTCGGCCCCGCGTAGGCCCCGCGTACCCCTCGTCGCCCCGCGTACCCCTCGTCGGCCCCCTGCGTAGGCCCCGCGTACCCCTCGTCGGCCCCACGTAGGCCCCGCGTAGGCCCGCGTACCCCTCGTCGGCCCCGCGTAGGCCCCGCGTACCCCTCAGTCGACCCCGGCGTACCCCTCGTCGGCCCCGCGTAGGCCCCGCCCAGGCCCCGTCTCGGCCCCGTGTCGGCCCCGCGTAGGCTCCGTCGGCCCTAGCTTAGGCCCCCTCTTCGGCCCCGCGCCGGGCCCCACCTACGCCCTGTCGGCCCCGGGCGCTGTCCCCGCTTAGGCCCGCCACCGCGCCCCTGCTACAGCCCGCCGCGTCGGCCCCCCGCCTACAGCCCGCCGGCCCGCCTAGGCCCCACTTCGCCCCTCGTCGGCCCCACTACAGCCCGCACCGGCCCCTGCTACAGCCCGCCACCGTCCCCCGCTACAGCCGCCACCGGCCCCTGCTACAGCCCGCCACCGGCCCTGCTACAGCCGCCACGGCCCCTGCTACAGCCCGCCACTGGCCCTGCTACAGCCCACCACCGGGCCCTGCCACAGCCGCCACCGGCCCCTGCTACAGCCCGCCGCCGGCCCTGCTACAGCCCGCCGCCGGCCCTGCTACAGCCCGCCACCGGCCCTGCTGCAGCCCGCCGTGCTGCACGTGAGCAGCCCCAGCAGCCCGCGCCGCCCGTGACCCCTACGCACCCGAGCCGCGCGAGCCGCCCGAGCCGCCCGAGCCGCCCGAGCCGGCCGCCCGACCGCCCGAGGCCGCCCGAGCCGCCTGAGCCACGCGAGCCACCTAGGAGCCGTGCTGCTGTCCTGAGCTGTGTTCCTCTGCTGCTGACCTACCCGACTCTTCCAGCCCGGTGAGACGTTCACTGCTGCCATGGCCACCCCAATGTTCTTACTTTTGACGCTGAGGGGAGGGCCCATTGACTTTGCCGTATGGATTGAAGACCTGCAGCTGTACTTACTGTGTGATGCGATAGATGAGGTCTCTCTCTTTGACTTTGTCTCTGGAGCTGTCCCTGCCCCGCCTGCTGATGCTGACTCTGCCGTTCGCTCCAAGTGGGCGACCCGCGATGCTGCTGCACGTCTTGCTGTGCGTCGCCACCTCCCTTCCTCTGAGCGTGCCCACTTTAGTCAGTGCAAGACCGCTCAGGCCTTGTACGACGCTGTAAGTTGCACGCTACTCCTCCCCTTCCTCCGCTACCCTTAGCCGCCTCATGCTACCGTTTCTCTTCCCTGACCTCGCTTCCTTTCCCACTGTCGCTGACCTCGTTACCCACCTCCGCGCTTAGTGACGCTCGCTACCACCGCGCGCTGCCCTTCCTGCTGAGTTCCGCGCCGCAAACCCTCCTCCCATGTATATCACTCTCTACTTTCTCGTCACCCGTCTTCCTGAGTCCCTTCGTGTCGTTAGGGACCAGTTTCTCTCTGTCTGTCTGTCCCACCACCCTCACTGTCGACCTCCTTGAGGAGTCCCTCCTAGCGGCTGAGAAGAGTATAGTCGCTGTAGGGGCCTCTAGGGGTGACCCTCGCACCCCCCATCTTTGAGGGGTGTTCTCCTTCCCCCCTACTGCCCTCTGTCGCCTCTGCTGCTACGGCCGACCTCGCTGGTTTTGAGTCGGTCGGTTGCGGCGTCTGCCCCCACGGCAGACGCCGCTCTGGCAAGGGCAAGGGGGCAAGGGAGCGGGTGGATCTAGAGGAGGCAGTGCGGAGGAGGTGGGGTGGCGGGGGGAGTGGGGGTGGCGGTGGAGGTGGTGGCGGGAGTGGAGGTACTAGTGGCGGCGGTGGAGGCGGAGGTGGCGGCGGAGGTGGTAGCGGAGGAGGCGGTGGGAGCGGTGGGAGCGACGGTCCTGGTGGGGGAGGTGGCGGTGGAGACGGGGGTGGCGGTGGAGGCGGGGGTGGTGGTGGAGGAGGGGGTCGGAGTGGCTCGTCCCAGCAGCGGAGCAGCTCTGGGGGTGGTCCAGCGCCAGCGCGTCAGGCAGCAGCAGCAAGCAGCAGCAGCCGCAGCAGCCGCAGCAGCAGCAGCGCTCTCGCACCGTCCCCGGCCCTCAGCAGCTCCGTGAGTGTACTTGCAGCGTCAGCGCGGGTGGTGGCTCTTGGTCCCTGCCCCTACGTTCTTCGCACCGGTGAACGTGCGGGGGAGAGGTGTGGAGGCGCCCACACAGCCCGTCGCTGCTTTGGCCGCCTGACCGACGCCTGGCGTCAGCAGTTTCCGGAGGCCGCTGAGATCCCCCGCTGGGGAGAGCTGTCTAGGGCTGGAGTAGCTATTTTATGATCTTGACTTTGATGCTATTCTCTCTGCTATGTATGCTGTGACTGGTAGTGATGAGGATGACTGTTACCCCGTGTTTCCGCCCGACCCGGGCATTGGTACTGCCGCGTCAGGTACTAGTGAGGCTGCTGCTCTAGGTGCCAGTGCGTCTGTGCTCTCCAGTGCTGGTGAGTCTGCCCTCTCAGGTACTGTGTCGGCTTCGGCCTCTCACACCTTCACCCTTGACTCTGGAGCGTCTCGCTCCTTCTTTAGGGACCGCACCACTCTCACGCCGCTGAGTCGGCCGTTTGCAGTGTCCCTGGCTGACCCCTCTGGGGGCCGGTCCTGGCTCGCTTCTCCACTGTCCTCCCGTGTCCGGCGGCCCCCTCTGGCAACCCTGACTGGTCTCTACCTCCCCTCTTCTCGACGAACTTGGTGAGTGGTGCTGACCTCCAGGATGCGGGTGTCCACCAGTTCACCCCTGCTCGTCAGCGGGTGACCACTGCACGGAGGAGGATACAGGTCGCCACCTGGCTACGTTTACACGTCGGCCAGGGTCGAGCCTGTACACACTGACCACTGCTTCTCCTCCAGGTGCTGAGTCTGGTAGGGTCCCTTCGTCTGGTCAGGTGTTTGCTGCAGCGTCAGGTCTGGTCCTGAGTCTGCCCCTGCTCGTGTCGTCGTCTGTCTCACGAGACCCTCCTCTGGCACCACCGCCTTGGCCACCCCTCTCTGCTTCGGCTCAGAGGCATGGCCTCGCGAGTCCTTGTGTCTGGTCTTCCCCGGTCTCTCCCTCCCCTTCCTCCGGGCCCTGGCCCCACCTGTGTCCCTGTGTCGAGGGGCGCCAGCGTGCTGCCCCTCACTCCTCCCAGTTTCCTCCCACAGAGGCCCCGTTGCAGACGCTTCACATGGACGTGTGGGGCCCAGCCCGCGTCCCGTGGACAGGGTCAGGAGCGCTACTTCCTGCTGGTGGTTGACGACTACTCGCGTTACACCACAGTCTTCCCCTTGCGCAGCAAGGTGAGGTCACTGAGGTGCTGATCGACTGGATCCGCGCAGCTCGTCTCCAGCTTCGGAGGAGCTTTGGCTCTGACTTCCCTGTTTTGCGTCTGCACTCGGACAGAGGTGGAGAGTTCTCCTCCGGCCTCCTGAGTGCCTACTGTCGTGTGCGAGGCATCCGTCAGACCTTCACGCTTCCGGACTCACCGCAGCAAAATGGGATTGCTGAGCGCCGCATTGGCATGGTCATGGACGTCGCTCGTACGTCCATGATGCATGCGGCTGCTCCCCATTTTCTGTGGCCGTTTTGCGGTCAGGTACGCTGCGCACCAGATCAACCTCCACCCCAGGTCCTCTCGACCGGAGACCTCCCCAGCCCTGCTGTGGACGGGGAAGGTTGGCGATGCGTCGGCGTTCCGGGTCTGGGGATCTCGGGCGTTTGTTTTCGCGACCTGTCTGCGGACAAGCTGTCCCCTCGTGCTTCTCCCTGCGTCTTCCTGGGGTTCCCCCCCGACGCCCCTGGGTGGCAGTTTTACCACCCCACCTCTCGACGTGTTCTGTCCTCCCAGGACGTCACGTTCGACGAGTCGGTACCCTACTACCGCCTCTTCCCCTACCGCACTCCGTCCCTCCCCCCACCCCCGCTCTTCTTGGTACCAGGTCCCCCCCCGGTAGTCCCCCTCCCCCCTCAGGGTACTGCCCCTTCAGGTGTGTCCCAGGTAGACGCGGTCGAGCCTGTCGAGGTCACTGGTGACTCTGGTGCTGCTGCGGAAGCTGAGCCTGGGGGTGCGGAGTCTGGGGGTGCTGAGCCTGGAGGTGCCGAGTCTGGGGGTGCTGAGCCTGGGGGTGCTGAGCCTGGGGGTGCTGTGCCTGGGGGTGCTGAGCCTGGAGGTGCCGAGTCTTGGGGTACTGTGCCTGGGGGTGCTGGGCCTGGGGGTGCTGAGCCTGGGGGTGCCGTGCCTGGAGGGTGCTGTGTCTAGGGGTGCTGAGCCCGGGGGTGCTGTGCCTGGGGGTGCTTCGTCTCGCCGGGAGCCACTCTCCCCACAGGAGCTGCGTGAGTGGTTTGCCGGGCGCTGGAGGCGTGCTGCTGGTGCTGGTGGTTCTTCGGCTGCAGAGGGCACTGCTTGCTGCGCGCCCCGCCGGTGCTCGTACTGTGGGTGCTGGAGCTGCTGAGTCTGAGAGTTCTCCTGGAGCTGGTCCTGCTGAGGGTGTTGGCGCTGAGCCTGCCGTTGGCGGCCCGACTGACAGTGCTCCTGGTGCTGCGGCTGGAGGTTCTGGAGCTTCTGGTGGTGCTGCTGGAGGTGCTGCTGGAGTGGGTGCTCCTGCCTGGGGCTGCTGGTGCTGTTCCTGCTGTTTCTAGCGTCGCCGCGCGGCCCCGACCGTACTTCGTTCCGCTCCTGCAGCAGGTTCTTGGTCTTACACCTCCTCCTCCTCCCTTAGAGGGTCCGCAGCCTGTCGTTCACAGCCACAGCTACAGCCTGCCTCCCCTTTGCCTGCTCCTTCTCCCTACGCTGGTCCGACTGGAGGTCTTACTGAGCGTCGTGAGCCTGCGTCTCGTCCTGTGTCCCTGTTCGTACTGAGCGCGCTATGGTCGCGGGTCGCGTCAGCGTCCTCCTCCTGTCCCTGGCACGCACCGGATGTCACTGCGTCCGTCCCACTGCTCCTCTGCGTGCCCCTTTGCCTTCTCCTCCTGCTTCCTCTCTTCCTGCTCTTGCCGACCCGGAGTCGGACGCTCTTCGTGCTGCCAGTCCTACTGTCACGCGTCTCCTGGCTACTGCTGTCACTGACCCTTCCTTCGAGTCGTCTGCTGCGTCTGCCCTTGTCACTGAGCTTGTCGACTTTGCTGCGCGCTGTCGTCTAGACTACGCTGCTTGTCTTGTCACTGAGTCTGAGTCCCGCCTGTCCTCCGTCTGTCGGGGGTGAGTGTGCCCTTGGCACGGACGTCCTTGAGGACAGGCAGGAGGAGTTCCAGTGTCTGGCCGCCGCTTCACCTCGTCTCGCGTCTGTACTGCTAGCCCCTGAGGAGACCCGGATGCACCAGACATCCCCGACTCCGCGCTCTTACGCGGAGGCGATAGAGGGTCCCTACTCCTCTCAGTGGCAGGCAGCTATGGATGCAGAGATGGCTTCCTGGAAGTCCACAGGCACCTACGTTGACGCTGTTCCCCCTCCTGGGGCAAACATCGTCAGTGGCATGTGGATTTTCAGGGTGAAGCGGCCGCCGGTTCTCCGCCTGTCTTCAAGGCGCGTTACGTGGCTCGTGGCTTCAGTCAGCGGCAGGGGGTTGACTACTTTTCAGACCTTCTCCCCCACCCCGAAGATGACCACTCTTCGGGTTCTGCTACACGTTGCTGCTCACCGTGACTACGAGCTGCACTCTCTCGACTTCAACACAGCTTTCTTGCGGGCAGCCTGCACGAGGAGATCTGGCTGCGTCGCCCACCTGGCTTCACTGGGTCTTTCCCTCCTGGTACCCAGTGGAGTCTCCGGCGTCCAGTCTACGGTCTCCGCCAGGCGCCACGTGAGTGGCACGACACACTGAGGACTACGCTCGCGGCACTTGGGTTTGCTCCTTCCACTGCCGACCCGTCGCTGTTTCTGCGCACCGACACCTCTCTGCCGCCGTTCTACATCCTCGGTACGTCGACGACTTGGTCTTTGCCACAGCTGACACTGCTGGACTCGCCTACGTGAAGTCCGAGCTGCAGAAGAGACACACGTGCACTGACCTGGGTGAACTGCGCAGCTACCTTGGCTTGCAGATCACCCGAGACAGAGCACGCCGCACCATTACCCTGACTCAGTCACACATGGTGCAGCAGGTCCTTCAGCGCTTCGGCTTCACCGTACTCCTCGCCTCAGGCCACTCCTCTGCCTACTCGCCACTCTCGCTCTCAGCTCTGCCTTCGGATGAGTCCGTAGAGTCGAGTGGTCCGTATGCAGAGCTTGTTGGCTGCCTCATGTACCTGATGACCTGCACACGACCTGACCTCGCATACCCTCTTAGCATTCTCGCACGCTTTGTTGCTCCTGGGAGACACCGACCAGAGCACATGGCTGCAGCGAAGAGGGTGGTTGCGCTACTTGTGCAGTACGTCGGGCATGGGCTAGTGCTTGGAGGGCGCAGTCCAGTGGTCCTCACTGGGCACGCAGACGCTTCTTGGGCTGACGACCAGGCTACGCAGCGGTCGTCACAGGGTTACACCTTCAGCCTTGGTTCCGGCTCTGTCTCGTGGCGGGCTACCCGCTCGTCTTCTGTTCTCGGCTCCAGTTGTGAGGCTGAGATCTACGCTGGGGCTATGGCTGCACAGGAGTTACGCTGGCCTCACCTACCTGCTGACCGACCTTGGAGAGCAGCCTCGTTCTCCTCCAGTCCTGTACGTAGACAACAAGGCCATGCTGGCCTTGTGTCGAGAGCAGCGACTGGAGCACAGAACGAAGCACATTGCTCTTCGCTACTTTCTTGCTCGTGAGCTACAGCAGCGTGGACAGCTGCGACTTGCGTACGTGGCCTCTGAGGCCAACACTGCTGATGTCTTCACCAAGGCACTTGCGCCTTGTGATCATCAGCGTTGCTGCACGCAGTTGGGGTCTTGTGCCTGTCTTGCCTCACTTGCTCTCCTCTTGACCTTGCTTGTACTTTCGCATATATATACTCTTGCTCTTTGTATATCTCTATATATGATCTTGCATGTGAACTGGCCTTGTGGCCTTTGAACTTGTGCTCGGAATGCGTGGTGACTTTGTGATCCACCCTGAGCTTTGCTTTGCTTTGCTTGACCGGTCTTGTGACCCCTTGTTCTCCCCACTTTG